ACCACCACAAAGCTCCAAGAAGTTCAAGGACTTTCTGGAAGATACCCGGTGGGCTCAGCTGCAAGCTCAGTTACTGTGTGTATCTCCAGGCCACAGTGCCTCTGCACAGGGCTGTCCCATCACCGTTGCCCCTTGCACAGAATCCAGTGGCTGGTGAGGCCTCTGGGTAGAGTGTGGGCTGACCGGGCCAGCACTGCCCGCCGGAGTCCTGGATGTACAGGGGGCTTCTTGCAGCAGACAGGAATCATTCTTTTGGCCACTGTACATCTCAGCCCCCTTCCTGTGTTAGAGGTATCCCCCCAGCTTTAAGACAGAAGCTGCCTCCCATGAAAGAAACTGAAAATGTCTGCCATAAAAAAGAAAGAAATCCTGCCATTTGCGATAACATGGGTGGACCTAGAGGGTATTATGCTCAGTGAAATAAGCCAGGTGGAGAAAGACAAATACCATGTGAGTTCACTTATATGTGGAATCTAAAACTAAACTAAACACAATGAACAAAGCAGCAGCAGCCTCACAGACACCGCGAAGTGACCGGTGTTTACCATGGGGGCGGGTGGATGAAATAGGGGAAGGGGATCAAGAGGCACAGAATCCCAATCCCAACACAAATTAGACACGGGGATGAAAGTACAGCAGAGAGAATATAGTTAATAGTTCTGTAACACCTTTCTATGTTGACAGATAATAACTACATTAGTTGGAGTGAGCAATTAATAATGTAGTAATTGTCCAATCACTAAGTTGCATACTCGAAACCAATATAATATTGGATATCAACTATATTTCAATTTAAAAAAATTTTTTTAAAGAAAGCTGAAACTGCCCTTTCTGCCTCCTTTTCCCAGACTCCCTTGCACCTGGGGCCTGGGCCCATTCTGTGCCCCTCCAATCAGATCCCCAGGCCCAATTTTGAATTAAACCTGCTGGTGTGAAGAAGCACATCTCAGCAACTGATGGCAGCATGGCAGCTTTCAAAGGTGGGGGCCCCTCCGTCCCACCGTGGTGCTGATTGTGGTGTCAGTGCCCTGCAGAGACAGTGGGGTCTCTTCCAGATCTGATCCTCCAGCCTTTCCAAGAGGTCCTGGGAACTAACCAGTATTTTGACAAGGTTTTTCTCTGCTTAGAGTCACCAGAGTTGGTTTTGGTTGCTTAAAGCTAAGAAACTTGATTGATACAAAAATAGGCCTAGAACAGGGGGAGCAAGAAGCCCCGAGGGAAGCAGAGGTGCCAAGGCCGATAGGTGGCCAGAGGACAGTGCAAATGCAGTAGTATTAAGGCACAGGATATCAGCAGCCCATGGCATGCCATGCTAAGACACTTAGTCCTGTGGTCCCCCAGAACAAAGTGCCCATCAAAGGTGAGGCTTTGGGAACCTGCTGGTCCTGTCATAGAAGAACATAAAGATTACCCTGTGGTCAAGGTCTGATTGGGCAAGGTGTTGTACTCATGTCCCCCCTCTGCTTAAAAGGAAGAAGGTCAAGCTCAGTGTCCAAATTCTCAGGTCCAGGTGTGATTAGAAAACCAGGGAATTTTTGTATCTTGTAGCCATGAGACTGAGAGAGTCAAAAACCAAACTTAAAGCTTGATCAGAGGCTATAAAGCGACACCATCAGGTGGTTTCACACCCTCCCTAGGTCTCTAATTGAGAAAGACTGGCGCGTGGAGGGAGGAGGCCATTAGAACAGGGCTGTCTCGGGAAGACGTGGAAGACAGGCAGCCCCCGGCCTCATGGAGCCTCCCTCACCAGCAAAAGCAATGCTCCTGGTTGTTCTGATGATCCAGGTGTCAGAAACCTGCTAGCTATTTGCCAAGCCCACACTCCCTCTCCTGGGCACACATCTAGGTGGGGTTTCCCGTCCTCCCTTGCAGTTAGTGCGCTACGCTGCTGGGGGTGGCCCATGGCGATGGGTCGGAGGGATGTGAGTCACTTGCAGGCCTGGCCTGGGGGACCCACTGAATCCCCCTGTACCCTCCTGCTTTCTGAGTTGGCCACCTGAATGCCAACAACCTGGGTGGGCCAGGAGACAGTTACTACAGGTGGCAGGGCCCCACCTCAGCCTGGGTTCCCTCCCATGGCCAGCTGCTAGCATTTTCCTGAAGAATATACCTGGTGATCACCTTGTCCTGAGGCATCCCCTTTCGGGCCCTACCCTGCCACCTCTCGTTTTCTCCAGACTGAAATAACAAGTCAGATTCCTGCACGCACACGGGGGCCAATGACTTCCGATCTAGGAGTGGGACAGTGAAAGAACCGAAAGGTGTTTGCTAATTTATTTTGGCAAAAACCTGGCAAAGTGGTCCAGGAATGGATTCTGAAGGTGGAGGACTGTGGAAGGAAGACATCCGTGTTAGGTGGGGGTGGACATAATTGACATTTAGGGTTCTATGGGACTAGCTTGAGTAGTTGGGGTGCTTCTAATTGTTTGCTCTCATGGTTGCTGGAAACTGGGACTCAATTGTGCCCAAAATATTGACTAAGAAAAAGGATAAATGAGAGTAGCTAAGAACTACTGAATATTTACTATCTGCCAAGCACAGTTTTAAGCACTTTACTTATTTACTTTACAATTTACTTAGTTAAAAAATACAGTTTAGGTGGTATAATGTTGACTGAAGGAATCAGAAAAGTTAGGTGCCTAGCTCATCTGCACTGACATCAGTAGTGTTTGCCAGATTCTGTCCCACTTTGATGTACTAGCTCATCCCGTTATCCTCATTTTCCAGAAGAACGTGAGGCAAAAAGGTAAGTTTTAGGGTGACCAACTGTCCTGGTTTGCTTGGGACTAAGGGGTTTCCCAGCACATGGGATTTTGAATGTTAAAATGGGACAGTTCCAGGGAAGCTGCGGTGACCAGTCCCCTTGGTGTTAAGCAACTTGCCCAAAGACACACAGTTATTAAGGGGCAAAGCCTGTCCTCATATTCAGGTGGTCTGACTTTAGACTCACACTCTTTGCCTCTGCCTGTGGTTCTCGCACCTGAGCCTGCACCTTCAGTAGCCAGAGGTCTTGGTACAACCCAGATCACCAGGCCTCACTTCAGAGTTTCCTGTTCCCTAGGTTTGGGGCCCTTGGAATTTGCTTTGTTAACAAGCTCCCAGGTGATGCCAGGGCTGCTGGTCCGTGGACTGGCATGGGGAACCACTGCATTGTGCTGCCTCGTCCCGGGATGAGAAGGGTGGAATGGACTTCTCAGGTAGGACCCGCTCACTGCCACCTCCACCCGTGAACGCTGAGATGCCCCAAAGCCGCACCCTTAGCTGGGGCATCGGGAAATGCATTGGTGAGAGAAGGGCCTCACTTTACAAATGCTGACCAGAGAGGCTGCAGCTGAATGGGAGCCTGGGGTCTGGGGTGTGAGGGGCACCGGACGGCCAACATTAGTTGCCATGGCAGTTGTGGGGGTGCCAAAGAGTGGCTCCAGTGTTGCCACTGCCAGGTACTCTGCAGTTTCTGTGCTGGGCAGCAGGGCATGGCATCTACCCAGACTGGCTTCGAGGCAGAACTTGAGGCACTGTTTCTGCCCACAGAGGGCCCTAGCCTGGCTCTCTGTCTCTGCCCAGGATCCCGTGACCATTGTGCTTAGTCACAACAGCACAAATGTCCATCAGTGGATGGACGGATAAACAAACTCTCCGTTTGTGTAAACATACAGTGGAATATTATTCAGCTGTTAAACAGAATGAAGTACTGATACACGCTACAATGTGGATAAACCTTGAAAACATTATTTCCAGTGACAGAAGTTAGTCATAAAAGGTCACATGGACGGATTTAAGCCGAGATCAAATTTGCCTAACATGAAATCAACCAATTCAGTGGCATTTTAATGCATTCTCCACCTCTAAGTTCCATAACACCTTTACCATTCCAAAATAAAACCCGTACCCACGGAGCTGTCACCCCCACCTCCCGTCTTCCTGCTGCCCCCGGCAGCCAGCAGACTGCATTTGTTTCTGTAGATTTACTTATTCTAGATATTTCATATAAATGGAATCAGCATATATGTGACCTTTTATGACTAACTTCTGTCATTGGAAATAATGTTTTCAAGGTTTATCCACATTGTAGCGTGTATCAGTACTTCATTCTGTTTAACAGCCGACTAATATTCCACTGTATGTTTACACGAATGGATAGTTTGTTTATCCGTCCATCCACTGAAGGACATTTGTGCTGTTGTGACTAAGCTGCTGTGAACTTTGTGTGTAAGGATTTCTTTGAGTCCTCGTTTTCACTTCTCTCGGGTACATACCTAGGAGTGGAATCGCTGGTCCTATGGCAGTTGTGCTTAACTTTGATGACAGGCATTCTAAGGGTGCAAAGTGGGATCTTATTGTGGTTTTGATTTGGATTCCTACTGCCTAGTGATGTGGAGCATCTTTTCATGTGCTTCTTGGCCCTTTGTGAATCTTTGGAGGACTGTTTATTCAAGTTCTTTGCTCATTTTTAAATCATTGTCCTTTTGATAAATTCATTTTCTGCCATGGTTAGCCAGAGTTGTTTCTATGTCTCTACTGGTTGCCACTAAGAATTGTGGCTAATATGCTTCTCCCTGTTCCATGGTCCCAGGTCACACTTTGACCTCCAACAAGCAAAACAAGTTGATGTTCACACACAACAGTGTGCAGCTGGGCCACAGTGCATTCTGGATCTCATGACGGCACCTCCCAGTCTTTCACCTCTCTGGACACAGCCTCTCTGTACCGCTGTAGGAAGAGGAGGGAGATGGAGCCATAACTGAGGTAACTGCTAAGAAAGAAGAACGTGCAGGAGCAGGTATCATGGATAAAGGGAGAGGGTGTGAACAGGAACACACAGCAGGCGGAGGCAGCGTGAGGCGCGGGGCGGGAAATCAGACGTGCTGACAAGGCTTCTAAGTCTGTGCGTATTCAGGGACTAAGAGCCGGAAAACCTCCAGAGGGTGGCCTAGGAAGGGGCTGGGGAGTGTAGCACGCAGCCATGATTCCCCTTCAACATGAACATTTGCAAGTCCAGCTGATTCATAATTTAGTTTAATCCTTTTGGGGGTACATCCTGGGCAGCAAGGATCCCCCCCATCTGCCACCGAGGGTCCAGCCCACATGGAGGAGAGTGGTCTCTTCTGACTGCTGGCCCTAGTTGAGATCCATCTTCCCGAGGAAAAGCAGGCTGAGGGGGCCCAAGGCTCCCTCCCCCATGCCAGACTCCCCATTGGCCTCATTTGTACCCATACCCCACTTCCTGCAAGGTCTGAGACTCTTGGTGTATGGGGCTTGTGGCCCCAGCCTGGCCCTTGTCCCAGGCAGGTGGACAGATAGGCAAGCAGGGCTGTGCTTCCAGGCGCTGGCAGGGGTGAGGCAGGCCTGAGCCTCAGGGCCCCGGGTCCCACCGGGAAATGTGCTCGTGAGCTGGAAAGGAAGCCGAACAGAGTGAGGGGCAGTGGCAGCCCAGGCAGTCCTGGGATGCGGACCCTGCTGTTCTTGGCCGGAAATGGCTGTGGTCCCATATGCAGCTCCAGACCCTTCCGGCAGGTGCTGCTGGGAGCTGGTTCAGGGCTAGGTTTCACCTGGGCCACCTACCAAAATTCACTGGGCTCTAGGGAATCAGGGCACACCAAGGCACCTGACAGGTCACCGGTGACAGGAGGAAGGGACCCTGGAGAAATCCCCAGCCAGGCTGCCGTTCCCGTTCTGCTGTGGACATGCTGTGTGAGGCTGGGCGCATCTCCCCCTGCCCGCTGGGTCTCAGGTGCCTGCAGGTCACCAAAGCCCTGAGCAGGAGACCTCGGTGTCCCCATGGGCCCAAATGCTCTCTGGGCCTGTGACCTGGGTATCCTAGCACCTGGAGCTGACCAGTGGGTACCCCAGGGACGTAAGCCAGAGGAGGAGAGCCGCGGGAGGCCCTCACCAAACTGGCAGATGTAACGGTTTCGGGTTTTACAGCGCTGGTCGTTCCAGTTGAAGGCCGCCGATGCCTGCAGCTCCACGCAGTTGCCAAACCTGCGGGTGCTCAGGAGGGGGAGTGAAATGAAGACCCTAGGAGGGGCTTAACTCCTCTTCTCCTGCAGGCCACCTGCAGCTAAGAGGCCTAGGTGCTCCCATCCCAAATACGGGCCTCTGGGAGCCAGACCCACCCCCGAGCTCCCATGCCCGCTCCTAGGACCACTACAGCTCTTCCCGCAGAAGCTGGGAGGTCTTGGCAAACCCCCTACTTGGGGGTGGGAACCCCACCTATCCACTGCCAGCACTCAGCCACCCAGCCAGTGGGGGGTGGCAAGGGGAACAGGAGGAGAAGGCCCATGCCTCCTCCCAGCAGAGAAAGGGTGCCTGGGAGCCCAGCCAGGCCGACTTCCCCCAAGGGATGGGCCGGGGCATCGGCCTGGCTCCTGTCAAGGAGGCTGAGGGGAGGCTAGGCAAGATATTCTGAGCCCTTGGTGGCCACACAGCCCTACCACCTCCACTGTGCCACCTAATCCTACCCCCACCCCCTGCCTGGGCATTCCTGGGCTTTAAAGGCCAGAGCAGGGCCACAGAATCAGAAGGCCTTGGTCTAGGCTGGCTTGTGGGTGGATGTGTGGGTGAGTGGGTGGAGGTGGAGAGACAGTTAAGGAGGCCAGAAGCAGGGTACTGAGGCGGGCAGGGGGGATGGTGGGGTGGGGTGGAGGGCCGGGGCAGGGTGAGGCACAGCCGAAGGGACGGTGGGGACCAAGGGATGGATAACACCCTCCTGGGTTCCCTCTCTTTTCTGTGAGCCCCTAGAGGCCAGGGATGTGCCCTCACCTCAGCACCGTGCCCACTCCCAGCTGTCCCCAGACATCCTGGGCACCACGTAAGGCCCAGACCTGCAGAGGGGTCAGCCCGGCAGCAGGCTGGGTGGAGATCCTCTGTGGGGTCTGAAGCTTGGACAGCAGGCCCAGGTGAGAAGGTGGACCCAGGGCAGCGGGTGCCCAGACTCACCCCTGGTTGTCAGGCTGCCCAAAGGCGAAGCTGGTGAAGGACTGGTGCTTCCCGGTGGTCCAGCGGAAGGAGTCCTTAGCAGTCTTATAGGTGAGCCCTGGGCCACAGCAGCCAAGGTTGGCCGCATCACCCAAGATGCCTGGGCCCTGTTCAGAGCCCAGGCTCCCTGAGAGGAGGGCTCCAGCCCCAGCCCCCTGACAGTGCTCCCTCCCCTAGGCTCTCTCCCCAGGGGGTGGGTTCACCAGCCTGACTACTGACCTCATTCTGGGCCCCAAGCTCTCCTCCTTCCACCCTTAACTGTCTGCTGAGGGGCAGGGTGCTCTGGGTGTCCATGGCCCAGATTCCTGCCCCCCCCTCACCGCCCCCACCAGCCAGGCACTCACCGATCCAGAAGTTTCTGGTGTCAAAGTCTCTGTCAGTCACCTCGTTGGTGGTCTCCAGGCGGCTCAGGTAGAAGGCGAGGATGTCCTGCACTTTCTGGCTCTCAATCTGGGCTAGCACCCCGCCTTTTCTCTGTAATGCCCATTCCAGGTCATGCTAGCAGGGCCCCAGAGCTCAGGCCAGCCCTCCCTGTCCATCCTGCCACCTCCCTGTGGCCGCTGACGTCAAACCAGTGGTCAAGCTGTCTTCACCCCCACAGCCTCGTACCTCTTAGGGGTCCCCCTGGCCCTCCCTTGCCTGCACCTCCTCTCTGCGCACAGGGGCCCAGAACGGCACAGTCCCATCCTTGGAAGGGTTTTTTTTCACTATGCTCAGAGTCTTAAGTACATTTGACTTGGCTGCCAATATTAATAAATCAAGAGATGCCACTGAAAATCTGAATTTCTGGTTCTCTTGGAAAAAAAAAAATCCAAGTTCTGGCCTCTCTGAACGCCTATTCCTGTGTGGCAGCTGGCAGCTAGCGCCGAGTCAGGATGGCTCCTTAGATAGGGGTTGGGTGGGTCCCTCAGATCAGTAAGTGACCTCCTGGCTTCCATGGACCTCTGAGTTTGTGGCCTCTGCTTTATACTAATGACAAGAGTCAGGTCAGGAGAGGTTGAAGCAATCGTCTTAGTCTGGGGTCCCTCCGTGAAAACCGTTGCCTGAGACCCTGGAGAGTCCCTGGGAAGGCAGGGGTCAGCTACCACCTGGCAGGTCATCTTGGCCCTGTAGTAGGTGTCTGTCTCCGAAGATACCGTGAAGCAGTCTCCATCGATCCTCAGGTCACAGGCGTGGAAGGGAAAGTGCACCCTGGCTGGGGAGAGGGGAGACCGGCTTTGTGGGGGGTGGACCTCAGGATCGTTACCCCTCCTGCCCTGCCAGGTGCCCCTTCTTTGGGCTACCTTCTCCTGGCTGGAGTGGGTGGGGGTCAGTGGTGTGCTGGTAAACATGTAACAACCAGCTCCCTCTCTCTTAAAAAAAACAAAACACAATGTAGCATTGGCCAGTTTCTGTGGTGTAAATACCCCCACCACGGCCAAGTGCAAGCTACCACCAGATGCCACTGGATGAGGAACTGGGAAGAGAGGCCCAGCGGGCGCCTGTGAGCTGGTCAGAGCGGGTCAGCCCAGGGAGGGCTCTGGCTTGTGGGGGGCTTGGGGCAGGACTCACTGGCACACCGGGCTCCCCCATAGCCGACGCTGCAGACACAGGAGCACTCCTCCTCCCGGAACCGGCCGTGCACGCACTGCACGCTGCACCGCACTGCCGGGACAGCAGGCAGGGGTGGCTTAGCCCTCAGCCCCTGGGCCCCAGGCCGCCCCTCACGGGCCGCGGCGGCTGGGCAGAGACCAGCCATGGCCAAGACACCCTTCTCGGGGACGGAACCCATCAGGGCTTCCAACTGCTGCCACACATGGCATCTTTGGTTTGATTTCCATTGTAGAGAAGCAAATTGGGGTTTAGGAGGCAACCTGCCTGTAGTCACAGAGCTGGAGAGAGGGGACAGTAGGACAAGAACCCATTTCTGACCCTAAAACTGTCCATCTCCCACCACCCCAGAGCTTTAGGGGCCAAATCGGATTTCACCTTGAATCCTCCGCACAGTTCAGGGTCTGGCAGACAGTCAGTGCTCAGTGAACGCTTATTGACTGACTATATGCAGTGTGTAGATCAGCCAGTACACAGTCAGCACCGCTAACTCAGTCAGGATTCCCTGGAACACCTCCCAGTGTGCGCAGCGCTGCCCTGGACACCCCGCGCGGGCATGGGTGTGCGCCTGGCTCAGTCCCTGCTCGCCCTCTGAGGGCTGCCCGCATGTGTCCTGGGCTGGATGTCCCTCTCTGGGGGGCCCCCGGTGGCCGTGCTCTGGAGATCCAGGTGTGCCTCACCTTGGCAGTACCTGCCCGTGTAGCCAGGGGGGCAGTGGCACTGGCAGGTGCTGACATTGAGATGTCCATTGTTCCGGCAGCTCATGCGACACGGGTTCCTGGGGACTTCTGGTCAGACGAGGAGGCAGCTCTGAGGGGGGCCTCCCCGAGGCAGGCCAGGCAGGTCCCTCCCCGGGCGCTAACGGCAGGGCTCCCAGACAGTCCCTCAGTGCCACCCAACTCCAGGATCACCAGGTCGGGCTCCCGTGTACCCGCTGCCCCAGCAGGAGGCAGGCAGGGTTGGCACTTACCACAGAGGCCCCCTGCGTGGTCCCAGGCTTTGAAGCAGCCCGAGACGCGGGCTGTGCAGAGCGAACACCAGTCCCCCTTCTTATAGGGGACGACTGTCTTCCCGTTCACCTCCCAGTTGCCTCTGTGAGAGCAGCGCCGGAGGCTGGGAGGCCCGCCCTTGTGCAAGGCGAGGCTGGGCCTCATTGCCTGCCCACTGGCCCCTGCAGCTCCTACTGGCCCGGCCAAGGAGTCAGGGAGCTGGGTGAGTCAGACTTCCCAGGAGAGAACAGCTGACCTCCAAACTGCTCTGGGGGCAGGGGCGTACTTCCAGGAAGGGGCATCTGAGGGGCCGCGGGCTGTATGGCCGGAACTTGGGTGCTACCCACTACTGCACCGTGTCCCCTTCCTCCTCCTTCCCTCTCCCACCATGAGTGCAGACCAAAGGATGAAGGCTGTTGGGGGGTGGGGAGTGCACCCCCAGCCCAGCAGCAGGTGGCAGGGCATCCCTGAGGCGGGGGCTTACCCGGGAGAGTAGGCGCAGACGAAGGCTTCCATCTTGTTCTGGGCCCCAGAGCAGAGCTGCCGTCCACAGCCCAGCTGGCTTGAGGTGGCCCACACGAGCTGCAGGAGACACGGTGGCTCAGAAAGGCCATCGCTGGCCACCCCCACTCCCGGGTTGCCAGAAGCACTGGGGATGCTTTCTGGGCACGGGAATACAGCTGTCACCCGGACTGCTCGCTCACCTCCCTGAGGGCCTCAGGAGAGCGCTGTGCTGGGCGGGGCTGCGAGGACGGGTGGTTTGATCTAGGAAGGCTTTCTGGGAGCAGAGGAGTGGAGGGGGAGAATAAGCAAATACCCGAAGGCCGGGGGGCTTGTGAATGGGTGGCACAAGAGAGCCTTGCACAGCAAGGGCCCTGCCATAGGTTGCAAAAATGGCCACAACCCTTCGCGTGTCTAAAGCTGCTCTTTTAAACACGGCTTCGCAGCTGTTTGCATCAAAATGCGGAGTCACTCCCACACCTTACTGGGGCTGGCCCTGTGGCTTGCGAAGGCCAAGCCAAGAGTATGCAGTTGCGGGGATACTGAGCCAGTTTTGAACCTTGGCTTCAGGAGACCCTGCAATTTCCACTCATAGAACTCTCCTGCTCAGCCGCCACGCAAATGGGCTGGGGGCTGAAAGACCGCACAGGGCAGCGATGAGCCAGTTGAGGCCATTCTAAAAAGCCAGCTCCCAGCCATCCCAGCAGCTGACTGGGGCCTTAGGAGCAGCCGCTGGGCCGCGCAGGGCTGTGAGGAGGGGCAGCTGCAGTAGCACCTCCCACCTGAGCCCAGCCCACACTGCCAACCTGCAGAATCAGATGGTAAATTTGGGGGTAGGGTGTTACGCAACAAAAGCTAACAGGTACAGGCCTTTAATAGTGGTCAAACTTAGATTTAAAGTCTTAGGATCAGTGATAACTTGAAAACAGCACAAATGGTCAATACATAGGAAGAGCTAAGCAAATTCTAGGAGCCCTGAAAATGACAAGTAAGAGGCAGGGGAACAAGAACATATAGTCATCCATACGCGCCCAACAATTGGAGAACATACATTCTTTGTAGGAATTCAGGGAACTTTTGTAAACATTAACTCTTCCCTAAACCACAAAGTGAGACTCAACAAACAGCCGTATGCCAAAAGCCACATTCTATAAATTCAGTGCAATGGAATCTGAGGTAAATAACCAAGAAGTAAGTAACAGAGAAAGCATAGTTTGGACATGTGAACTTACACTTCAAAATCGAAGACCACATCGTGATGGAGAAGAGGAAAGAAACACAGATCTAAATGACAATGAAATCACTAAATATCAGAATTGAAGGAATGTAGCTAATGATATCTAGAGGGCAATTTAGAGCTTTAAATACATACATCAGAAATGAAAAGACTTAAAATTAATGAGCTAAGGACCTATATCGAGAATATAGAAAAAATAAGAGAATAAACCAAATAAAATAGAAGAAAGAAAATAATTTAAAAAAAACGTAACCAGGAAGATCTAGTGTTATGCAACAGCTTTTACACACACACACACAAAACTATTCATGCATTTCATTTTAACAGTTAAGAGAACACCATATGATTATTTCAGGAGGTGCAAAAAAAAGCATTTTATAAAACAAGATGGATTCATGATTTTAAAAATCCTGAACAAACTTAGGTTAAAGAGAAATACCTGATAAAGCTTATTTACTTAATTCACATGAAAGAATCAGAAGCCAAGAAGAGCCAAGAAATTTTTGAACAGTAATGGTAATACAGGGGATTTTCCTGTCAAAACTCTTCATAAAGCCAAAATCATTAAAACACAATTTGTACAGAGATAAACAAAAGCAACAGAGCAGAGAATTCAGCAACAGGCCTGGGTGGCTATGGGAGCTGGCATATGACTGACGTGACATTACAAATCAGCGGGGGAAGGGTCAACTCTCAGTAAAACTGCCCATGTGGAAAAAAATTAAATTAATCCTGTGACACACCACATAAAAAATTCCAGGTGGCTTAATGACTTCAATATGAGAAAGGAAAACATTTCAACTTTGTAAGAAAATATAGGAAGAATATCCTTCTGATGTCAGAATAGAAAAGAGTTTCTTAAACATGACACAACAAATGGATGAAGTATAAAGAAAAAGACCTGAGAAAATGGATTATGTTAGTATTAAAATCTTCTAAACGATTTGTCTTATAATGGATAGCATAAAAAATATTAAGTCATGTTCGTTATGCTTCAGAAGATTGGAGACTGATGAAAATTAGGCTTGGGGTGGATTAATGATTGTGCATTGAGTCCCCTATACAGAATTTTATTGTTGTTAACAACTATTTGATCAATAAATATGAGAGATGCCCTCTGAAACAAACAAACAAAAAAAAAGTACATACTTCCAATTGTAAAATAAATAAGTAACTGGGATGTAATGTATAGCATAGGGAATATAGTCAAAATATTGTAACAACTTTGTATGGTGATAGCTGGTAGCTAGAATTATGTATATAAATGTTGAATCACTGTGTTGTACACTTGAAACTAATGTAATACTGTTTGTCAACTACCCTTCAATAAAAAATAATTATCTACAAAAAAAAATTAAGTCATATGCTAGAAAAGGTATTTGCAACCAATATGACTAACAAAGTGTAAAGAATATAGAAAGGATGGTTATAAATTAATAAGACACCATGTTATAAAAATGGGCAAGGTTTATGAACAGGCAACGAACAGAACAGGAAATGTGCTCGGTCTCATAGGTAATCAGGGAAATGCAAATTAAAAATGGAGTGAGGTGGCATTTCACAGCCTTGGGTTGGCCAAAATTAAGACGCCTGCTAATACAGGAAAGTGAGAACTGACTTGTGGGCAGGAATACCATTCCTGCGATCACTTTGGCAATAGCTGGTTAGATTGCAGTGTATGCTATGACCCGGCCATTCCCTTCCAAGTGTGTCCTAGAGAAGCTCTGGACATGTGTATACAAGAGGACATGAACTAGGATTTGGGCACTGTGAATGACTTGTAATAGTAAAAAAGTGGAAATAACCTAGACGCTTCTAAACTGTACTTTATTCACAGTGAATCACCCATGTGTATTTGGATCAGTGGAAGTAAATCTCACAAACATGGTCTGTGAGTGATAAACACAAACTATGAAAGGAGACACATAGAAAGAGCACTCATATAGGATTTAAAAACACACAACCCCCTTGCACAAGTAGAAAAGGTATCCAAACACTTACACATGTAGTAAAGGTTCTATAACAGGCTTGGGGTTTTGCCTGTGTTCTTTGGCGCCATACCCCAGCACCAATGCCAGGTGTGTAGAAGAAAACAAAGGAGACGTGCTTGGGAGTGATCCCCCTGGGCTTCAGGAAGCTGACCTCTGGGCAGGATGGAGGAAAGGGTGGGAGTAGTATTTTAAAAGATGAGAAACAAATAGAACTAACTTTTTAAAAAAATCGAGGTAATGAGTAAGGGGAGTGGAGTCCATTACTTGATTTATGTTTGAAATATTTCATATTAAAAGCTAAAAATAGTAAAACTACAAAAATTGGAGGAAAAGCCGCCACCACCACTTTTAGAACAAGCTGTAGCGCTTCTGAGCTGGCCCCAGAGGTCCATGGGGCTTGGAGCTGGTACCCTGGCCTCACCTGAGTGTAGCGGGTGCAGGTGGCATTTCGGGCACACTCTGCGGCTGTGTGGCTGTACTGCTGCCCCTCAGCGAACCACAGGCCCACCACGTGGACGAAGGATGCTAAGCCCACAGACAGCAGCTGCACATTCCAGCCCACTTGGGGGGCGGCCCCAGGGGTAGACACAGGGCACTGGGCCGGGGCGCCACAGAGGGCGGCCCTGGCCTGAGCCCACTGGGCCAGGCTCTCGCTCCAGTCCTGGGAGGGACGCAAACAGAGACATCAGCAGCAGCCTTAATAATCCTACTCCCCCATGGGTGTCCAGTCATGCAGAGAGCACTGGACCCAGAATCCTCCTCGGCTGCCTGACATCTGAGCTGGTTTCACCCACTTTCCTGGGGCCAGAAAAGGTCAGACAGGACCTGCGAGGAGATATCCAAGGTGTGTTGGAAAAAGCACTGGGGGTGTCTGGGCACTAGAGCCTGGCTCCACCCAGGCCTGAGAGGCTCCATCCTCCTGACTCCCGTGGGGCACCCTGAGGTCCTGCCTGAGGCACCCCCGCAGGGGGCGGGCACTCCTGAGGGCTTGCCAGCCCAGGGCAGGCTTCTGTGGTAATTCTTGGCGGCTGGTAATGTGAGCCCTTGGCAGTGCCTAGGCCTTTCAAACCGGTTCTGTGTTTGCCGTTCGGAGCAACTGGCCCTTGTCACAAAGGCTCGGCTGTTCCCCCTGGGCCTCAGCACCCATGGGTCCTGTTCCCTCACCCTGACCTTGGGGTGTATAGGGGCACCAGCGGGAGTCAGGACAGGAGAGGGGGTGAGAGGTCCCAGCGAGAACCCTAAGCTGCTCTCCCAACCCAGGCACCAGCTGAGCCCCACGGTCAGCAGGGCAGTCAGCATGCCGTGCGCTGCACCTGGTCACCCCACCCGCCACCCCATTCCCGCGGCGTGACCTCCAGCAGTCCCCTAATCTCAGTGACTAAACGTCCTCATCTGTAGGATGGAGACATAACCTTCCTAAGGATAGGGTTGCCCGAGGATTAGATGATGCAGGGAGGAAAGCGCTGTGCTCAGGGCCTGACCCTGGACAGACAGTCTGTGATTTTCTGTCTGATGAGGATTGGAGCCAGAGGCCTGGCAGCCCGCACCACCCAAGGGGCTCAGTCTCTACTGGGTAAAAGCATAGGAAGCCCACAGGGGCCAAAGCCCTGGGCCTGAGGGAGGCTGGGTGGTGGGGCTCCTCTTGCATTGTTTATGAAATGCTGTTTCCTAAGACTTCGGTAGAAGGGGCCAGAAAGTGATCAGGTGCACCCCCACACGGGTTGCCAGGGCGGGAAGTGCGGGCTGCGGGGAGTGGGAGCTGACCGGCAGAGGGGGCAGAGCCGGGAGGGGGCGGAGCCGGGAGGGGGAGCAGAGCCGGGAGAGGGGGGCGGAGCCGGGAGGGGGGGCAGAGCAGGGAGAGGGGGCGGAGCCGGGAGGGGCAGAGCCACTCCTCCCCGCCGGCGCGCCCCTCCCCCACCTGCTGGGAAACTGCCCCCGGACCTCTCAAGGTCGCCGCGGCCACGCCAGACTCGGAGGAGTGTCCGGGAGGCGGCCAGGGGGAACCCTGCCCACCCCACCCTGCCCGCCTCGCTCCCTGGCCTGCTAACGGGCTGGAGCAGCTGGGGTCCGCGCGAGGGGGCGGCGTTTTTGGGCCCCGGATGACACTTCCCACCCCAGTCAGGGTGGCGGGAAGCCTCCGCCTCCTCCCCAAGGCCCCATGATTGAGCAGGGAGCTTGGAGGGGCCCCTCTGGGCGCCCAGACACGCCCGCGAAGAAGCACTGGGTGTCCTGGTCGCACCCCAGCCCCCTTCACCCAGGAGGATGCTTTTCCCTCCCTTTCCG